TCATGATAGTATAAGCACAAAAATACTGCATTATGCATGCTGGATAGACGCATGTTTGCGTGACGTTTGAAGGGGCAGTTAGTTTCCATGAGATCAGGAAAATATTAGAAATAATGCCACAAAAATACCACAAAAAATACCAGAAAAATACTATACAAAATACTAGAAAATATTATACAAATCAGCAGAAAAATACTATCAATACACAAGAAATTATTCGAAAAAAAATTGATAATTACTATATAAAATACCACATAAAATATTAGAAATAATAACAAAGACAGAGATGAAAAATACCATTAAAAACAAGACAAATACTAGGAAATACTACTAAATTGAACCCCAAAATGTCAGGGGTGCCGATGCCATAGATCCCTTTTGGAGTTCATCAGTAGGCCTGGAATCCTAACGTCCTAATTGATCCCCAGCTATGGGCTGCAAGCTGATCCTCAACGATTCTTTGCGTCGCACGATGGTTCTTGTAAAGGACTTCCTTCTCTATAAAGAGAAGGTTTACTGGCACTACCACTAAGATTATCCCCCTTCGGTTCCATCCAGGATTTGCTGCTTTTAATGGACATATGTCATCCGTGGAATATTATAAGCAATCATCTTGGGCGATGATTAGCCGAAATAGTTGATGAAAGTCTTCAAGCGGCGACTCCTCTTGCTCGAAAATATTCCACGCTCAAACCACTGTGCCTCGTTGCATCTGATGCCTGCCCGAGACACCGCTGGACGATGACTGGCCGCTTGCCGCAACAGCTCACTGACTCCGGTGGCTAAGAGCGGCTCATGGGCTCAGGGGCTCAGGGGCGAGGCTCAGAGCGGCTCAGAGCGGGCTGATGATGACTTCGAGTTGTAGCTGGACGGACGATGGATTCAAGCGAATCAGCGGACCGGCCGACTGACGGACCGACAGACCGACAGGCCGAACGAAGGAAGGAACCAACGAACGACTAGCCACTTGGTGGTCCAATTCAACGAATTGACTATAATCAGTCCGAGTGGCAAGTACGTTTCAAGTGTCTGCTGCATGCAGCAAACACTCCTGTGTGTGTAGCGTGTGGCCAGAAGAACTTGGCTGCAGCTTCGTCGGCACCGTTGCAAGTGCTTTGTGGCACTCTCATACGAGTACGAGTACGAGTACGACTGCGAGTACGAGTACGAGTGTATGCAAATGGGTGCACTCTCACGAGTGTGCTGCAGCGGCACTGCAGCGGCGGCGCATAAAATTAATTTATTACAATGCAACAAATTACAACACTCATTAATATTTTAGCCAACGTTTTTAGTTCCTTTTTTGTCCCGAGAGCCAAGAACCGAGAACCGAGAACCGAGACCTGAGAGCCCAGAGCCCAGAGACCAGAGCTGCTGTTGCGTAGAGTTGTCTGGAATTTCATTTGCAGACAGGTTCAGGGGAGGCTGTGCAACATGTTGACTTGTTCATGGACCCACAGAACACACTGAGATACCCCAGAAGAGAGGGCGTGGCCCAGGGGCTGTGCGAGTCTCATACCTAATAAATCTGTAATTTGTAATTAATGTGAAAAATTGCCGCCCGAGACGGGAAACAAGCCTAAATTGTTATTATGGCCAGAGTCCAAGTTCCAGTTTCCATTCCGACAGTCCGACAGTCCAGCAGTCCGCCAGTCCGCTGTCTGCAGTCTCATTCCACAGACTGTCTGTGGCACAGTCTTGAGGCACAGTTTCTGCGGCCTGTTGTGGGTCAGAGTCATAACTCTTCCACAAGTTCGCCAGTTTCGTACGCTTAATGTTCGTGTCTTTGCGGCTGGCTCTGTGCGAATGTGTGCCTCGTACTCGTATAAATATAAATTAAGCCACTTGACTAACGCACAACCAACGCGTTACGAAAAAAAAGTGAAAACTTGGTCAACCGTTCAACACGAACAAAAAAAGAACGAGCAAAATCTCTTTTTTTATTGCCGCAGGTCGAGGAGATGGCCTCAAGATCCCCAAGATGATGGGCCAGCAGCAGCAGCAGCAGCAGCAGCAGCATATGGCTCCATTGTCTGCTGAAAGCACGGCTCATGCGGCGTGATTAATATCGAAGGTGGCCAAAAAACACATGTGATAAAAATAAATATGCTTTGAGCAATAGTTATTTATAAACGAAAGGAAACAACTTAATCAAGGAAATGTTACAGAGATTATTGGCTTAGAGAGAGGGAAATGGAATTGGAATTGGAATCAGAGAAGTTATGATAGATGATAGATAGTCCGCTTGAAGATTGTTTGGAATACTTCATTATGGAGATTTCTAAATACGGATCCCAGAATAATACCAGAACAAATACCGCAGTTACTACGAACAAGAATCATTTCTACATATGTAAATACCACGGAAAGTACTTAAGAAAAGTACCAGAATCCATAATGGATACAATGAAAAACAATGAAAAATTCCCTAAACATACTAGAACAAATAGAAATCATATATGTAGTTTCAAATTCAATAGAAGACAAAGCGTATAAGCGTATAATTACTTCTCCCCCACAAATTACACCCATCGTAAAGATGTGCTTCATAAAGATTCATCATCTCCTCCAGAGACTCCGACTCGCCCAATAAACAGTAGTATTCCCCGAAAGTGCTCTCCCATAACCCACTCTCTCTTTCCGTCTTTCCGTCTCTTTGGGGAGTTCTTGAAAACAATTTGCTTTGATGTTGTTTCTAATTTTAGAGTTTTGCTGCCTAAAAAATAAAAAAAAGAACAACAACATCTGGAACACAATTCGTGCATTAAATCATAAAAATGTAAAACAAAAAAAAACAAAAAAAAAGGCGAACTGCTTAAAGGTCTCATGACAACAAATCGGGCGTAAAAATGTCTGCATGATTGATAATATTCGAAAGTTTCAAACGCATTGACCGCAACAGAGACCCACAGTACGAATACTGTATATGTACATATGTATGTGTGTATGTATATTTGCGATATCCGACCCCTGGAGACCCTTTTGCCCCCCCTACGATTCGATGCGGTGTGGGGTCTGGTCCGTGGGCTGCTCAATTGCTACTCCCGTCGGTCAGTGGCCGAATAAAACAATTTCTTGATCATGCTGGTGGCCGAAAGGCCGCCGAATGAGTGAGTGATTCAATGGAGCAAAACGTGAGCTAAAGACGTGATACAACAACAAAACCCCCAAACAATTGTTGCCCCGTTTATACGCCTGATGAGCGCGAATCTGAATCTGAATCGGATTCTGTGGCAGCGGTCCAATCCAGCCCGTCGGCCTTTTGAAACGATACTCTCGGCACTCGGCACTCGGCACTCGGTACTCAGTACTCAGTACTGGTACTCGTATATCATAAAAATTGTTGTTGTTGTTCTTCATTCACTTGTGATATTTTTGATTTTTTTTCTCAACGAATCAATCACAATGATTATGATAAATGATTTTGGTATTTCAGTATTTCGGTATTTCTCTTTTTTTTCTCGTATTTATTCACTATTTTCTTTCAAAGTTTCCATTGTTAGAATGGGTTTTTTCTTCTCTGTTTTCTGTTTTGTGTTTGTGTTTTTTTTTTTTTTTGCATAATGGGCGATCAGACGATCAGAGGTTGTAATTGCCGGCTTATAAATCACAGTGAAAAGATATATAATTTCTGTTCAGATGATCTGTGGGTCTGCTGCCGATGGCCGAATCTTTGATTAGCACATTTGTCTGCCGCTGGAGTTTCACTTTTTGTTTGGTTTTTTTTTTGTTTTTTGGTTTCCAGCGGTGTAACGCTGACCCATTGAACTACAAATGCGAGTGTTCTGGTCAGTACTCGTTTAATGTTGATTTATTTGTGGGAGTTTGCTAAGTAATAGCTGACAAGTCGACTGTGCCAGAGGTAGAGCAAGTTGAAAAAGCAAAGAATCAACGCAGCAAAGTCAGAGTCCCGTTAGTTAGTTCATTCGTACGATAGCAGATAACCAGAGCCATGCCCGAGAGCGGCAGTCGCACCGGCACCTGGCAAACAAAAGCTTCTCAAAAATGAATTTCGCGAAAGCAATGCAACAACAACAACAAGAACAAAGCTTATCTCAATAAATATAACAAATAAAGCTCCCGTAGTTCGTAGGCAAGAGCCGATTGTCGTCGGCTTGTTTTTGTTGCTGTTGCTACTGAAAAGTTGAAGAGAGAGAGGAGCAAACGAATTGAAGGAATTGCGAGAGTGTGGATTGCAGTGCGAGGAGCGTAGGTGACACGATCGAAATGCACAGAGAGAGAGAGCGCGCGAAAGAGAACAGCAAATTGCGACTTGTCGTGCGAAATATCGTCGCTTTTTCTGTGCATTCATTGCACCGCTTATCGCGCATTCGAGGCGTAGTGTAAACAAAAAAATGCCAGCACAGAAGCCAGAAGCAGCTCTTTTAATGCTGATTTATTTCATGCTATTCTTTTTTTTGTTATTTTTTGTTATTTTTTGCCATTTTGTGTTTATCATATTTCTGTAATCTTGTTGGGAAACTTCATTAGTGTCAGCCGTGCACCCGCCTTGTGGCTTTTCTTTTTTTGGCTGATTAATGTGTGTCGACGCGGGGCGTGGCCAGGGGGAGGCTAATTTTTGGGTGAAAACCTGTCTCCACCCAAAGGCGACGCTGTTTGCATAGTCACAGCCACAGCCACAGCCACAGCCATAGCCATCTGCCACGCCCCAAACAATGTTGATCGCGAGGCAATTTAAAGTCTTTATTGTGGAATTATTAATTGGGGTGGAACCCGTATCATTTATACATAGGTAGGTCTTTCGGTTGGGGGTGTCCATGGCTTATGAGGTCGGGTGTATGGAGTACATATAAGGATATTCCACCAGCAGCAATGTGGCAGGCAAAACAACTTTCAAAAAAGAGTCAAAGTTGCCCCAGTCCCACCAGCCCCGCCACTGGCAGCAGGTTTTTCTTTTTGGGGCCAACAAATTTGACAATATTTGCCAATATTTATTAATAATTTTTTGGTTTGATTTTCCGCCTCCCCTCCCCTTGCAGACTGTGCAGCAGAGAGCCGCTCCATGAGGAGATCCGTCTGAGGCCCCGTCTTCTCTCCGCCTGAGGCGTACATATAAAATGTTTCAACGTCTGCCCGCTGCTGGCGGCGCGGACATTTACCAGGATGCTGCCGCCGCCGCTGCCGCCGCTGCCGGCACCACCACGATGCGCTCCGTGTTCCCCAATTCCCGCTTGGACTCGCTGGCGGAGAGCCAGCTGCCGGCGCCGCCACCAATGCCGCCAACGCCCCAGCCAGATGGAGTCGGATCCCTCGCTGGCGGGGCCGGGGCCGGGGCTGGGGCCGGGCCTGGTGGATACAATCCCTTAGACGACGACTGGTGGGCCAACGCCATCGAGGTGGACACCTTCGACTCGCCGCTGGCGTTCGATGCCAGCGAGAATGGTCTGTGGAATGGACACTTTGTGCCGCCACCGCCGCGTCCTCCGTTTCTGGATGAAAGCGTAGCCGCTGATGGCTTGACCACCTGTGATCTATGCACGTGGGCATGGCAGCGGAATGCCTACTCACTGGATGGTTCGATCGGTAAGTGGAAGCGACGGTGGGGCGTGGGGCGGGGGGGGAGGGGTGCAGCAGATCCCCTCTCTAGATACCCCCTGAAACGTTTTTTTCAATTAAAAAAGACAATAATCTTTGGGGGCGCACAACAGCCTCGTCTTCGTCCCCGTCCCCATCCCTGTGTGTGTGTGTGTGTGTGTGTGTGCATCGATCGCTGATATCAATTTATCAAACTGATGTTTGGGGCGTGTGTTGCATGCCTCGCGATTGCTTTTCGGCAGAGCAGGGAGCGCCCTTCCCCATTCCCCGTTTCCCCGTTCCCCCGTTCCCTTTGCAGCATTTGCAAATTTAATTTCTGCACATAACTCTTTGTGGCAGCTCTTAGGCGTTGGTTCCCCCTCCAGATGCAACCTCCTCCTCCTTCTGCGGCTGCTGCTGCTGCTGCTGCACTATCGCCCTGCCACATCGCCAGTCATTTGTCTCTGCGCTTGTAAAAGGAAACCCCGCCAGTCCCCCACTCGCTGAGGAGTCGCCGAGGAGTCGCCGAGGCGGAGGCGTCTCCTTAGATGAGGAAAAGTTTATGAAAATATAAAGCAGTGGGCGTGCTGCAGGCAGAAGCGATGCCAGATACGATAGAGGATGCTCTGCCACAGAGAGAGAGAGAGAGAGAGAGAGAGAGTCGGAGAATCAGAGAACTCTTTAATTTAATCCGAGAACCCAGGGAGTACCCACTCGCAGGAAAGGAAGCAAGGAAAACGGAAGGAAATGTATGGAAAAGCCAGGCCCTGTCATTAGGAATTGATTTTTGCCCAAGAAATCTTCCGTTTGATTCGTGAAATGTACAGAGAAAATCCAAGAAAACCAAAGTCTTCGATTCAATTGAATTTATTTTAATAGGAAGATCGGATAAAGGGGAGAAAAAGGAGAAAAACAAAGGGAAATCCTCTCTTGTTGGAAACTGATTGCCTGAAAGATTTTAAAAAAGATCACTTTGATTTGTTAATTAAGAAAATAGAAAGACATTGCAAGGAAAGAGTAGAAATAATAGCGGAAAAGCGAAGGGGATTCGCAGGAAAATGAAGCCAGAACCCATTCCCAATTGCTGCTCAGGGGAAACGGAATTCAGAGAAGGACTTTCCATAGAACCCTTTCATTAGATCCTTGAAATCACGAGGAAAACGCAAGCAAATTCAAGGGAAAACCGTCTCTCATTAAAAACTTGCTTCATTTAATTTCCTTAAATGCAAATTTCCCCCGACTTTCCCAAGCAAAAACACCCTCGAGAATGTCTCTGCATAGGGCACCCCCTCCCCTGCCCCTTAATCCATATCCAAAATCAAGTAATCATAAAACACAAAGTGAATGCCAAATGACCGCATGGAGCCACCATCCATCCATCCATCCCTCCATCCATCCATCCACATGAGCATCGGGCGGCATACATGGACTCCACATGGTATAGGGGGGTGAGGGGGTGGTGACGGGGGGATGTGGGATATGGAATATGGCATGGCATTTAGCCGTTTGCGAGTATTTGATTTCCAGGAATCGCTTTTCAGGGCAAATTGGAAGTCATTATAGTCGTAGTGGAAACAGTCCGAAAAAAACGAAGAAAAAAAAACATGAAAAATACCCAACTGCGGGCCAAAACGAAGCCCCAGGTTCTGCTCGGTTCAGGCCTGGCGATGGGTGCCCCTTGCGTTATTAGAGGCTAATTATAGAGCAGAGAGCGGAGCAGCGCAGACGAGAGGGGGGACGGGGGGCATAGTGCGGCATGCGGCATGCATCATATGGAATCCAGGAATGGAATGGAAATGACTTTATTCATGCCGACTCTATCCGCGTCCACAGAGCGAGAGAGAGAGAGGCGTCTCTTTGTCGCGCCAAATGTCTGCTGTGGTTGTTTCCTGTGTGTGTGTGTGTGTGTGTGTGTGTGTGTGTGTGCCCCAAAACGACGTGTCAACTAATTTGCAACACTCGCCACTCCACTGGACAGGGAACTGGCCGAGGGACTCCCATGGACTCTCTTCCATGGAAGTACCTGCGGGCTGCCTTTCGGCCAAGGGATTAGCAGGGGCCGGCCCCGGCTCTGAGAAAACAAAAACAAAAAAATTTGACTAATGTCTTAATTTTGGTGGAGCTTAGCAGCGGAGCCGAGCCGAGCCGAGCCGCTTTGTTGCTTTGTTTTGCCGCGCGGTTCGTTTCGGCTCTGGAGATACCCTCGAATGCGCAGCCGTGCCGCAGAATGGGGCAGGCAGGAAAAAGTCGTGCCTCCTGGAGACTGCAGCGAATTGCCATTCACTTCGCTTCATCTCAGGGGTTTGGTGGGGTCTCTACCTCGGTCTGGGTCTCTGGGGCTCTCGGTCTCTGGGGGCTCTGGGGGCTCTACCTCTGATTCTGTCTGTGGCTCTAAATTGAGTTTTTGCATGTCGTGCCCATGTCTAGGCCTTGCTTTGTTTCGTTTGTCTCGCTCTCTGCCACACAATTGACAGCTGAATAAAATGTTATTATATTTACACCATAATTTGCATGGCAATTAATCAAATGGCATGCAAAATTCGACAACACACAAAATGCCAGGCCAGAGCAGGGGCAGGGGCAACAGCAGGGGCAGGGGCAGGGGCAAGAGAGGTTTCAAGCGACACATATTTCTGGGAAAATATAAATATTCCCCACGCTCTCTGCCAATTCCCATTCCCATTCCCATTCTCAAACAAAACTCACACAAAAATACAATGCATACCATTTTCGACCCACCAAACCCCCCCGAACCCGGCCCGCCCCACCGCCTAAATGTCTTTATTATGAATCGGTGTCCCACAGCTCGTTAGGGGTTGGGCCCTGGCCTATTGGAGGATTGGGGAAGGTGTTCGAATAGAGACATTTACGAATGAATCAGAGCAAGGAGCTCCTCGTAATCGTATCATTGCACTATCGGGGAAACTCTTCCCAAGTTATGGAACCATACTCCCCCCTCGCTTTGGATGCCCCTGCGCCTGGGGTAGTCCCCAAAGCCCCCGTTCGGCCACTCGACACGTAGCGCCCCCATATATTTACTTTTATGCTTTATGGCCGTGGGATTAAGTTAACCGCCTGATAATTTCCACAGCATATTCTGTACAATTTATGCCCCTCTATGACACCCCATAATAACGGGATATAAAGGGTAACAGTTCCTATTTTCTGCCAATATTTACAACAATTTGTGGCACACACAATGCTCGCAATAAAAAATAAAAAGGAAAGGTCTTGAAGACCCAACGAAAAAAGGACTCGTGTCTGACTTTTGTGCGGCTGTGCGGCTGTTGAATGAATGTTTTATGGCAACAACAAATACGAGTATGTCCAGGGGAACAATCAGGAGAGGGAGAGGGGCAGTCGGTGCCACACAAAAGCAGCTGCTGTGGCCGGGGCTGGGGCAGGGGCTACTTCCTTCCTTTCTGCTGCCTACTTTTCGATATTTTTTATTGCTGTGGCGGAATAAATTCTCAATAAATTTATTTAAGTTGCCGCTTCTTCGGGGACTCCTCTGGCATTGTCCTTGCCACGCCACAAATACTTTCACAGTCGTAGACGAAATTATTTATGGCCTGATTTATGCTACGCTAAATGCCATTTGAAAAGTGGAAAAGTGTGCTTTCCCCAATAATTTGTTTAGCAGAGGAGCAGGAGGAGCTTATAGAAATTTCTTTTAAAATCATAGAAAAAATCTCTGTGAATTGGGAAATAGTTTTCTACTGCCCGGAATGCTCTTCAGCACTCCATCAGAGTCTCGGGTAAGAGATCTTATAGTGTACGATCAATCTTCATCTTCCTCCGAGCAAATTTTCCTACATTTTCCGCTTCGTTTATCATCGCCTTCGCTGACCATTGACTCATGGGCTTCCATGGGGGATTCCATGGAGAAGAACCCATGGCTCGTTAGCGCTTCCCCTTTGGAGGGGGGCGGGGGGGACGCGGGGCAGGGGCAGGGGCCGATGCAAATACATGACTAATCTGAAGATTATGATTATGAAATTTATGCTAAAACCGCAAGCAATGTGATTCGGTTTTTTGTTTTTTGTTTTCTTGTGTGTTTTTTTTTCGCATTCAGAAATATTCAAATCTGTAAGCGGAAATGAGTAGATGGATTTTTCTAGGTTTTCCTTCTGGTTTTCCTCGGTTTTTGCTGCTCTGTGACTCGTATAATTGTTGCAGGAAAACGCACTGTGGCCTGAAGCAGCCCATAAAAAGGCAAACAAAACACACAGCCCTCCCCGCCTCCTCCCCCCACCCCGCCTCCTCCCTCCTGTCTGAGCGAAGAAGTGAGAAGAAAACTTATTTGCTATTTTCATGGAATTTACCATAATTTCTGCTTCGTTTCCAACGTTTTCCTTCTGTGGCTTTTTATGTGGTAAAAAGATAAACAAAAAGATCGACAGAAAAGTGCAACAGAATTATGATTTCTTTCTGTTTGTGTGTGTGTGTGTGTGTGTGTGTGTTTCCATAATATTTTCCACTTTTTTGTTTACATTTTGCTTGCATTTTTATTGTGGCAGCAGCATCGCTCGTCGTTCCTCCTTCTCGATGGATTCTCGAGCCCCCCTCGTTTTTTTTTGTTTTAATCAATTAAAGCAAGCCGATCCCTGGCCTGGGGGGAAGACCACACACAGAGACTCTTCGCAAGATGCGGGCCTCCCCCGTTTCAGAGTTGGGGGGTCGCGGGGTCGGGGGTGGGGAAGAACTAATGGGAATGCTGATTAAAATAGTTGGCACTCTTTTAATCACGATTTATGTTGTGTAATTTCGCTTCATTCGTTTACTAATTATTTTTTCGAAACGATATTCGACTCCGCGCCGACTCAGAGTCTGTGTCTTGTGTCTGCGTCTGCCTTTGGGGCTCTGCCTGCTGCATGCCGCCTGCCGACTGCCACAAGAAGATCAAAGGAGGAGGCAGCAAACGTCAGCGGCAGACAAACATTGTCTCTTCTTTTGGGGGAGACATCAAAGGAAATTTTAGACTCAGTTTTCATGCCACAAACCATAAA